ATCATTCGACCATGTTGGCATTCCTTCTGGCAGATCTTCTTCTCCATCTGATTCGTAAAACTCTTCGTCATCAAACTCTGCCTCTAATCCTTCAAACTCATCCAGTTCTACTTCTTCATCATCACGATACTGTGGTTCTTCCTTTCTTAGGAATGACTCAATTTCCTTTGCACTTCTTGAAGCCATGATTCTTCTCACACTGCTTGATGCTTCTCTTTTCTGTACTTTCTCTGGTCGTTCTTGAATCCCAGTTGTTCCTTCATCGATTCTCTGTCGTACAGCTTCTGATTCTTTCTTCAGCTTGTCCTTCAAGGTTCCTCTTGGGTGAAGTGGGTGGTGCGTCACCAGGAATCAACTCTTCCGACTCTTCGCTCGTCGGCGCACTTCTCTTTCCAGCTCCGTGTCTGCTGCTGTCACTGCTTGCACTTGATTGGCCCATTTGACCTTCACCTGGATCCTCATTCTCATCATCGCTTGGTGGGTCGCTTGCTGCTTCATCCGGTCCTGGTCCATTTCCAGGATCACTTGGACTGTATCCACTTCCTTCTCCTTGATCTCTTCTTGGTACCGACCTTGGTGCTCCTCCTTCGATTGCTCGTTCAATTCCACTATCCGGAGGTAGCCTTTTCATTGGCTTTCGGCCAACTAACACGTCTTGAGTGTAGTTCCAAGGCGTTCGTGTTGCCTCGGCAAGTATCTCAACGTCGAACGCTGGCGCACACTGACGCATTGTCCTGCACTTGATAATTCCTTTCCTTGTACTCACCAGATTCAGGTTGCTTACAGCATCTTTCCAACGAAAATTCCTTGCCTCCATGGTTCGCCTTTCTCGTTCACTTTTGGTAATGGCTTTGCCAAAACAACACTTCCCCAGGGCGCCAATGTACGTTTGTACTCTCGATCAAACAACACTTCAAATGGTGTCTTTCCTCTTCTTACACCAAACCTGTTCAACAAGAATGCTGCATGTCTCGCTGCCCATGGGTAAAGCGTGCTTTCTGATGTGATTTTCACCTCTGCTTCAGTTTCAACACCATACACCAAAGTCTTTGATAAGTTCCTCACCGTTTGAACCCAGGGTTCCACCTGCAATGCTTGGTGTTCATCAGGTGGCGCATCTTGTATCTCTGTCTCCAAGTTCTTCAGCTTCCTGATTCCTTGCGCTTTTCTCCTCAAAGAAATCATTGATGGTTCTGTGTCTGTCCTTAAAGTCACCTTCGAATTCAACAGCATCAATACTCTGCAAACTTCTTCAACCACATATGCTGTGGCTTCTTTGCTTGCAACCGGTATCACATGAACAACCTTCGTTGCTTGGTCTACCATAGCCAAACCGATTGTCAATGCATCCTTCCCATCTTTGGGTTTTTCTTCATCTCTGGTTCCAGTGAACTTGAAATCCATCGTAACCAATGATGCCTCATTCGTTTTCTCAGACACTTCGAAATTGTCTTCTCTCGATCTCGTCGCTTGACAACTTTCACACCAATCTGCCTTTGGTAGGTGCGTTAAGCTCATGCTTCTTTCTCTCTTCTTCGCTCGGTGGTTCAGGTCTTTTCTCTCCTTTCGGTTGTCTCTCAAACTCCACTTCTAGACCTTTGGAAATCTCCACCAATTCTTTCATTTTGCTTGCTGCTATTCTCTCCTTGAGTCTCTTCCAGACTTGAGCTTTGCTTCCTGTCTCTCCAATCTTCACGAGTTCACATGCTTCTCTCAGCTTCTTGAGGGTACTTTCTGGAGTAAGTTCAACTCCTGCAACAATCATTGCTTCTTCCTCTTTCTCTCTGAGCTTGGGCAATTGGTCTTCGATCTTCTTCATCTCTTCCTCACTTGGTGCTTCTGGGGGAAATAGGTCTTCCATAGCTCTCTTGTTTTCCTCTTCCGGTTCCTCAATCGTTTTCTTCTTTTGTTCTGGATGTCCTTTGTCTTCAGTTCCCATTTCAACATCCTTTTCAGTTCCTTTCTCTTTCTCTTGCTCTACTTTCTTATTTTCCAAGGAGCTTTGCTTTATTTCAATAGTACGATTCCAATCACAGTATTCCCAAGCTATATGGGAAAATCAAAGTATATAAAGAATAAGAAAGTTGCTCAGGCAGAGAAGGTCGCTTTTTCCTTCCGGCAAAGCCGAAGGGGGAAGTCGTGACATCCCCGCACCGATCGATGGCGAACACGAGGATCGCCAACGAACACCCCATTCACTTAAGAAGGAGATCAATCGTGGCATTGCCATTGATCGGGCATCGCGGCGACACTCTGCACACTTGCCCCCTGACTGGAAAGATCGCCTTAGCCATCGAAGGAGGATCGGCCCCCGGCTAAACCAAGGGAGCATCGCCTCAGCGTCGCAACTCTCAGGAAAGCGAAGATGGTCGCCGTCCGACAAAGGGATGCACACCTCGCCTTTCGCCATGAAGATTTTGAAAGGGTGATCGCAAGCCACACCAATTCATCAAGGGCCCTCAAAGAAATCCGATCGGAGACAGCATACGCGCGGTTTACCGAGTTTTTTTTTCACACTCAGCGTCCTGTCCCGAAGGTCGCCTAGAGTAGGCCTAACAGGCTTACAGCCCGGAGACTCAAGGTCTCAGCCATGTCCGTGCCTAAGCACCAAAAGCAACACAGCAGATCACACCCGGTGTAGCACCCAAAAGCGATGTGATCATGCAGCAAACTACAGAAAGCGTAAAAGATTGCACTCGTGTGCACGACACACAAGTTCAGTAAGGCTACAAAAGACACTACGAAAAGGGACCAGGCAACGAGTAACATCACCAGGTCACGACTACTGTACAAATCACGGTACCTATGCGTAACTAGTAAAGGCCTCAGCCGGTAGTCACACAAGAGTTAAGCACGTCAGAACTACAGCGCAGCGCAGCACACTAGTGTTACGGCTCACAGGCTACCGCATCGTGGTCTCACTCATCTCACTGGAAAGCAACGGCTGAAAACCCACCTGCCGCAGGAATTGCATCTCGCCGTCACTCAAAGCTTCCGGAGTTTTCATGTGAAACACCGCGAGTACCACACGAACACCAGTCCAGTGGAGTGTGCCATGCCGCTCGTGTGAGTCGAACTCCAAATACGGTGGAGCCACTGCATGAGCCAGCCCCGGCAAATCAGTACCAGGATAACAAACATCCCCAGAAGCAGCATTGTAGCACCATAATTCACCACCAGAAAAGCGGCTCAATGGAATAAGCAAGTTGTTGCAGGAAGGATGATTGGTGCCATCACTGTGTATGCCCGAATGTACATTCCTCAAGAGCGAAAGCGAAGTGAAGTGATGATCCTCAGCACCTTCGCCAAGCAATACAGAGTGCACAATACGACAAAGCAATGCAGTGACCCATGGCATCTGAAGCGCGTTGCTGCGTATGCCGACCACTCCTCCAGCTTGAAAAGCACCTGTTGTGAACGAGAATGCAGCAGTGGATTCGCTGCCGAGCAGTGTTTGATGTCCACGCGGGCTGTCATGTGGAAGTAGGTCCCATAACGAAGATAGTTGATCCTCAAAGAAGCTGCCAACTCGTAGAAAATGCCTGGCCATACACTCCGCAGCGTGACTAGGGTCAGGTTCGATCAGCGGCAGACTCGGGGTACCTACATAGAATGACAAGCGCAGCAAGAGTGGCCCATCGTCAACATTGTCATCCCGTATATATTCCACCGTGTGCGCAGAAGAGCTGGACTGTACTTCGGAGTCAAGCACTGTCGGCGAAGTGGGTTCATAGGGATCCGGCCAATCATGATAATAAAGATGCACATCAAAGCGTCCCTCCACAAACCAGGGCGCATGGATGGTGGCCTCCGGATCATGTGTGCCCGACATGTGTAGAAAACCAGCGCATGCCCAAGTATCCGAAAATGAAAAAGTGTTGCGTGGACCGTGAAGGAACGCATAAGTTGTATGTTCACGCAGGCGCAATACAAAAGAAAGCTGGAACTGGAGTGCACCGGCAAGCATGCCCAACTGTACATCGTGTAGAATCAAGAGTCACGTTGATGCACGGACGCACTGAAAGCAGTAGCAAGCTCCACTGATTTTGCACTGAGAGCAGATATCCCTGAGAAAACATTCCACAACAGGTTGACCGTCACTCACGTCTCCCCAGGAGTGACCTGTGCTGGCAGAGTTGTGGTTCCCCGAAACGAAGAAAAGCGCATTCACCCGACCATCAAAGGGCCGGACTCCGTTGTGCGCCTGCACAACAAAAGATAAACTGTACTGGACGAGTATGGGGTAGTGTCATCTGGGGCCTTAACCCTGAACTCTGGAACGGTATTGTCATCGCAATGAAGGTCGCCCCCTGCCGCATGGAGCAAAGTTGTATAATGTCCCGCACTCAGAGTGGGACCATGATGTGAAATAGCTGCCAGCACATCGTAGGCGATCGTGCCTGATGTAAGATCATCATTCCCCCTGAAAAGCGGCAGGTGAAGCTGCCGCGGCCAAGTAATCTTACAAGCACGTTTTCTGATCCTTCGGCCCGCCTGTACATATCGAGAAAAGCGCAGCAGCAAAAGAGCCGGTGCGACCTTCAAGGCATGCGGGTGAGCTTGCGTGTGCCAGCAATGTAGGAGATACTGAGCAGTATGCACTCGCCCCTCGGGTAGGTCGATTGATATCGCCTCCGTGCACTGACCAGCATCAGAGCACTCACATCGAAACTGTCCCGGAGAGTCCTCAACCGTTGCACGTGCTTCCCACTCACCTTCAAATGCTGTGATGCTCAAGCGGTCAATGGTGTGTGAAAAGAACTCTGCACAATCGTGTTGTATTGCCGGTGACCTCCATCCGCGGAGAGCGAAGTTGAACATCAGCTGACCTGCAATGAACACGGGTTGTTGTTTGTGTTGCAGTAGTTTCTTAAGAAAGGTGAGCCCGGCACTGCCGAAGGAGCCGTCAAGCGTAGGATCCTGCACAATGGTCCATAATAAGCTCCGCATCACTGAGTTCATGTAGCAGTAATTGGAAGGGTTGCTCAGGATGAGCGTCCTCATCGAAGCAGCTCTGCCAGCTTCTGCACCGCCGGCGATCTCCGAAAGCCCTCTTTGCGTAGTTGTACACCGCACAGTCGAAGGGCGGCCTGTCCTTGAAGAGCTTCCAACAACACGTAGAAGCGATGCGCCACCTCCTTTCTGAACGACACATCCAGCTGGAACACTACCATGTGCCCTTGCATGTGTTCCGTCAGCGGCCGATTCGAAAAGAACGCCGAGATCACCTCCGAGGTCGCGAGCGTCTTCAGCTCGCGCAGGATGTTGAGGAGATCCTCCGTCGTCGTTGGGTCCCGTGTGCTGTCGACCTGTAGGCAGTGCTTCTCGTGCGACCACTCCTGAAACACCCATGCTCCCGCTCTGTTCATCCACCCCTCTTCCACAGCCTTGTCCTTCATTTCCTGCGTAAGACCCTGTAGCACTGCTAACATCTGCTCCACCAGATTCCAGAAGAGGATTGCGCGCAAGCTCACGTGTGCGAACTTGCAGTCCGGCTTGACCACTTCGTCCTTCCACTTCAGGGAGGCTTTGATGATCCCCGGTACAATGGACGGGGATGCTGTCTTGGCGAACAACACCCATCCCGTTGATTGCCTCAGAATCTTCAACTGGTCTTCGTGTCGCATGATGATCGAAGACAGGAGTCTCAACAGGTCCTCCATGCTCACCTCCTCCTGCTGCTGCTGGTGGCTGGACTCGGAAACAAATCGTCTGCTCTGCTGATGCCACGGTCGCCCTCCTTTGCCTCGCCCGCCCTTTTGGCCGTTGTTGAGGCGGCCCGTTTTGGCTGGTCGGCTCGTTGGGGGTCCCTGCGGATTCTCCGAGTTTCGCTTGCCCATGTTTGAGCCCGCTCCGATGCCCATCAGCAGCCCGCTCTCCGCAACCAGGGCTCCGAACACCTCCTGAATCTCCGCCTGTGCTGCTCCGGGTGTCATTGCAGTCGCCATCCGTCGGTGGTGCACTCGTTGCCGGGGCTGAGGTATGGCTCAACACGCGCGCCAGGGCAGTCTGTGTAACAGCAGGACAAGTGATGGCATGTCGATTTCGCTTGTTGTAGGTACTGTTGCAAAACTGACACTTGGTTTCGAGTCCCTTTGCCCAAGCCGCGCAAAGCAAGTCCACTTTAGGTTGAGCCTGATTCCAAACCGCATTGTGCTTCTGAACAAAGTGTTTGCACAACCCTCTGGCAGTGCACGACTCGCGGCACATCATACACTCCATGTTCCATGACGGTATGGCATCCTTCGCCGGAAGAGTCATGTCTAGCGTCATTGCATCAGCTGCTGGAGATTCCGCCTCAACAGTGCTCAGGATGATGGCCCGAACCATGCTGAGCTGAAAGAGGACCGGACAAGTGTCCCGATGATCCGAGCGGTCCGCAGTTTGCCCCTGACACCAAGGGCAGGTGTTTTTGATAGGCTCAAAAGAAAGACGACGCCACTGAAGAGTGCGAGCCTGAAACTGTTGGGATTCAGCTTTGTGCACTCGACCCCAGTGTATCTTGACGTATCTGGAGTTGGGCATCCACTGTCTACAACATGCACAATGTGAGAGCAGCTCCTGCCTAAGCTCTTCCGTCAGCATGGACAGAGTGATCGACTGCACATGTAGCGCTCCATCACGTGCCTGTTGCAGAACGGAGGGCCACTCTTCAGGGGTGGGCGCTTCCTCCTGGATTTTGCCTTGGCAGTGGTTCTCTTTGATGTGCTTCTGAAGGTCCGCCCACCTAGCGAAGGGATGCCCGCATCCACGGCACCGCGGCATGCCGTCAGTGCCATGTTGTTGCCTGTCGAAGACCGTGGGCGCCGCCTCCATTCTGTCCTTGCTGTGCATACGACCTTTGTGTTGTCGCAGGGCAGCATCATTGTCAAAGGATTGTCCGCAGTGTTCGCAAGAGAGCCTGTTCTGTGTGCCATCTGCCTTTGCATCCGTAGCAACAAGTTGCCTGAAAACCTCAAGCAGCCGGCGCTCACGCTGGACGATATCCTGTGTGAGACGTACATCTTGTGGACTAAGGATCTGACGCAAAGAAGTGGTGGCCTCAACGACTCGACTGTGGACCTGAAGTAGCATCTCATGTATTTGAGGATTTTGAGGCAGCCGTAGGCGCTGTAGTAGATGCAGATCACTCTCCTCAGTGAGGTGTCTCGGACTGCGGGCAATGGCTCGAATCTGCCTGACCATCAGGACCCTGATGAGATCAAAGGATTTTCTGGTGTAGCCTGAAGAAGACAGGGAATACAGAGTGGCCGGCAGGACATTGGTACGCCACAGATGCAGCCTCTTGTCAAGTGAGAGAGCACGATGCGACATGAGCGTAGTGCGCATGCGTGAAAAGGCCGCTTGTCCTGCATGTCTGCGATGTTGTGCATTGAGCATCTCGTAGTTGCCATATGAGATCACGGCTCCTAAGTAGATGTGGTCGCGCTTGCGCGGCAACGTCCACCTCTCATCGAGAATCAGCAGCGTGCCCTTGGGCTGCAGGCGTTTGCGTGTGATTTTGCGCATCGGTGTGGGACTTGTACTCCCTCCGCCCTGAGCAGACATACGGTTTTATCCCGACTAATGCAGAAGCCGAGGTCCTCAAGAATGCTGAGTGCGCGTCCCGCCTCGACGCGTGCCTTGAGTAGACCATCCCGATCCTGAAACTCCCATCGCAGGTGCGTGTCATCCGCGAATCCCAGCAGGTGCTCTAAGCTCCACTCCGTACCAAGCTGTTGGTCAAGAACATGTAGTACATAGGTGTACAGACAACACCACAATGTAGGTGACAACTTGCATCCCTGGCGGATGCCAGTGCTAGAATGATACTGCTCGGACGCGTCGGCCTTGTCAATGTGAAAAATCGTATTCTGTGTCCACCTGAGAATTACATCAGTCAAGTCATCCGGCACGGCAAGAAATTGCAAGGCACGCACCAAAAGTTTGCGGTCTGCACGGTCGAATGCTTGAGACAAATCCACACTGACCTGGAGTCCCCCTGCACACGATGACCGCTTCTGTCCCGCTCGTAGTTCGTACCAGCTGTCGCAGTGCTCATAGACCATCGTGAGGGCCTGTTGCGGGGATCGGTTCGCTAGATAGCCATAAAGTGGCAGTTTGGCGGTTGCCTTCAACAGATATGGTTCGAGGTGCCTCTTCAGAACACCGCTGACTGCTTTGCCCATGGGGTCTAGCAGCGCGATGGGCCGTAATGATGCGGGATCGTCATTGGCCTTGCCAACTTTATGTAGGAACACCAGCCATGCCGCCGACCAATCATCTGGGACCCACGCGTGATCCTCTCGCCAGCCTGAGAAAACCTTTCTTCCATGAACGCAGCCACTGGAGAAGAGGCTAGCTTCCAGAAGGCATGTGGGGCACAATGGGGCGGGGCGGCCTTGCTCGCCTGAAGATCTCGCAGAGCTTTCTCAATGTCCTGCTGCAGCACATTGTAGCTGGAAGCCTGACCCGATCGAAGTAGTGTCCCTGGTGCTCCATTCACCGATCGCCTGAAATCAGCCGGAGTAAGCAGTTTGCCTTCCTTGGACCGCAGTTGCGCTCGTTTTCGTGCTTGTTTAGGTGCCACTCTCCGAATGAGGTCAAAGAGCGCCTGACTGCAACCTGAACGTGTGTGGGCATCCGCCTCCTGAAGCAGCTGTGCCAACCTGGTCCGGCGTAGTTGTCGAGAGTGGTTGTGAACCATGCGGTGCATTTTCAAGAAACGAACCCTATGCTTCCAAGCCTGCACCATCGCACGGAGTCGCCCCACACGAGAACGATTGGCCTCCTCGAAGGACCTGCGCATGAGTCGATAATGTTGCCACATGTCCTTGATGCCGCCAATGTGTTGCGCCCCAGTCCAGGGCGGCGGCAAGCTGGGCGGTCGTTGTACATGAAAGACCTTTCTCCCGACCTCCAGCAGCAGGGCGTTCAACTTCTTGGGCTCATACTTATCAACAGCTTGCAACGCGATGGCAACCTGCTCTGTGTAGCGCTCGGCCAACTGTGGCTGCTCCTTGATGGCCTGTGAGAGAAGGCGGCAGCGCCATCGAGGCCATTCAAGCTTCTGCTGTGATTTCTGAGTCCTGAACCGTCGTATAGAAAATCGTGACCATACTGGGAGATGCCTTCCACCTTTGCGCCAGCGCGCAACCTGCCAGTCACGCAGAAGTCCAGACTTGTAATCACTGTGCTTGTTCTGCCTAACAAACATGTAGTCAATGAAGGAGCGTCGCACCGGCTTGCACCCCTCATGGATGTAAGTGTAGCTGTTCTTCCTGCCGAATGTGTTGACAGCAAGCAATGAGAAGTCCTGCACAATCGCCACGATGTCCTCCATATCCGGTGAAGGCGTCGTCGGTGTAAGCATGCCCTGTCCTGTGTGAGATTTCAAGGTGGTCAGATTGCAGTTGTAGTCACCCGCAGATACAAGAGTGCTGCCTTGCGGTACATGTCCGTATGTCTGCCGAAGGGAGGTCCACAATGTAGCACGTTTCCGCAAGATCTCAGCTTGGTCACCGTGTTGCCCAAGTGCATATTGATACACATTGACAGTGTCTATCCAACCCCCTGCACACCATGCCCTGACATGAAGGAGGCGTCCCGCAGCAGGATCATGAAATCTAATGTAATCTTGCGGGAACACAGACTTACGCAGCAAAGTCATGACACCTGCATGGGCTCGCTTGACATCCGCGCCTACTCCAGACCCGATGCAATGATAGCCACGTGTGTCAAAGTCCATCTGTTGCCTGTGCCAGGTCTCTTGAAGAAAGACGATGTCGTAAGGGTGCTCGTCGAGCCACGTGAACAGCTCATCTTTTAGGGAGCTGAGACCACCACAATTCCAAGATATGCAGGAGAGCGAAAACTGCGATGAGGCACCAGTGTTTGCAGCATTGGTCCTGGGAGCGCGCCCAGAGTGCTGCGTAGCACCTGCCTGATACTGTCCCATGAGAGCATGTAAATCAGATGTCTGTCCTCGATAGTGTGTCGTGCCATGTACTGTCGCCCTGGCCACAGCACGCTTAAAAGCTCGCTTTCTGTAAAAGGAAAAAAGGTTTGCCGCAAGGTCGGCCTGATTCGCCTGTTTTCACGGGGCTTCGTAGTTCCTGATCATCAAGTGCATCCCCGTTCCCAGAGGCTCGGCGGGGCCTCCAACCCTCGCTTCTATCGAAAACATGAAAAGATGTGTCCTCCTCATACTCGACCTCCGGATTTGGGACCGGAGCGGCCATCTCTACGTCATGTATTGCTGCTGCATCTGTTGTGTCACGCTCCATGAGAAATCTGCTGAGTCCGTTGTAATAAAAACTATGCGAAAACGACCAAGGGAAAAGAATACCAAGCAAAATCCAAAAGTAAAGCATGCGTGAAAACCAGATGTGAGTCAGAGGCACCGATGTCAGCTGAAAACCATGCACCTACGCACTGCTACAGCTACGCGCGCCGCCCACCCCGACTCGCAGCAAACAGCTCGGGCCGAGAAGCTTGGTTTACCAAGTTCTCGGCCAAATCATCGATCGACCGCGTCTTGGCCTTTTGCACGATGCCGAACCTCCGCACTGGAAGCCAGCCTTCCGGGTGACGGGCTTGCAGCTCGTCCCACGAGTAAGGTCCCGTCAGCCACTCCTTGACTAGCATCTCTTGATGTGTGGAATCCCACACTTCCCGGGCCAAGTCATCCACCTCTGCGCTCGACACTTTCGCCCACAGCGCCGGCCTAAGAAACTTGGCATGCTGCACAAGCTCTGCACGTGTCATCAGAGCCGGCTTTCTGTCTACATCGAAAATGCCGGAAGGGCTCGACTCCCCTACCAAAGGAAACCCATGCTTGAGGTGTTCGAAAATTTCAGTGTCAGGCCAACCGAAAGTTGATGCGATATTTTCCAGAAGCAAAATATTCTTGCCTTTCATCACAGAGGCTACACCAGGATCCATAGCAGCACGCAGCTCTGCTTCGGCACTGGACAAATCGCGCTTCCAAGAAGTCCACTGCTGGGGCAGATTCAGACGGTGTTTCATCACACCAACCGGACCCTCTTTCAAGGTAAAAGCCAACGCTCTCAACGTGAAGTCTGGGACTGCCACGCACAAGTCGAAGGGATGATCGATATGCAATGCCTGCGCCACAAACTCGTGTTCCGTGCGGTAAATGCCAAAAGTAACGGACGAAGGCACACCTGACAGACTTCCGACCTGCTTCGCACCGACAACCCCCCGATCACACAAAATGCGAAGAAGGCGGGAGCCAGGAGGCAGCGACTGCAGAATGACGCGAGCATTGCAGCGGAACAGCGTGTTCAAGTAAGAGGCCAGCCTGGCCGACCGCCAGCTGCAAGAGGCCAGCGAATACATCACAGAATTTTGATGTGTACAAGGAATCTGGTGCAAGCGAGCCCGCAGCATGGATCCCGTGGCGACAGCGACACACTGGTATGGGCATGCCTGCCAGCGCGGGCTGGGTTGTACACATGCGCATCTTTACCGGGCTGGGAGCCCCGTAGCAGCCGGCACAAAATTCGACACAATGCACCGTATCGGGCAAGTCCAGCTGGCACCACAGGGCTGACGCCAGGGGATGCAAGACACTCCAATGCGAGTCAGACGCGAGCAAGAGCTTGGCGAGGCGAACGGTTTGCACGGCGTCGAAAGTAGCCTTAAAACAATCCTTAGTCGCAGGGAAGAAATGCACATGAAAAGGGGCGTCTTGGCCAATGACAGTCTGCGCAAAGGAGAAACCCGAGTCAGTTTCGATGTCCACCGGGACAAGGTGAGTGTGCACCCGCTCAGCAGGGCGCGAATGTTCAAGCGCCATGACTTGGAATCCGTCCCGCCGCACTCGAGCAGCTAGCAAGCCGGAACCACACTTTATTTCGACATAGAGAGCAGAACCAGGCTTTAAAGGACTACCAGGGTCGCTCACAGGTTCCTTAGGGCAACCGGCGGGGGCAACCGAAGCGGGCAAGGGCCTATGCGACACCTGAGCTCCATTAGAGGGCGAGGAAGGCTGCGGGCGACCACACACTTCGGCAGGTGCCAAACGCGCGCCTTCGGGCGCGCATGCCGGAACATCAACATTGCACTTCCGGAGGAAATCAAGATGTTCCTTGCACAGAGATTCAATGTGGCGGATTGTATATGCGATCAGCAAGACTCTACGGCCTTGCCAAGCCTCGGTGTAGTGCCAATAACGCCTGGCATTGAATCGGACGGGGCCCTTTGCCACATCCAAGCGAGAACCCCGGGCACCATTAAGGGTTGAAACATCCCGGCCGTCTTCGTGCTCTACGAAGATGGCGCCACCGTCACCTGAGAATTCTGTTAGGGCAATCGCCAGGTTATGCAAATTGGCATTCCACTGATCGCGATGGCGCTCAGTGCGAACATCCTCGAATATATTTATTGAAGAAAATTTAAACCCCGGAACACTCTGCCTCACAAACCTTGCAAAGACTTCAAGCGCTTCCGGGCTGGTTGAGGCATTGGCCTTCAAACCCACATTGCCCCCAAGAACATACGCTCCCGTGGCATAGGACTTCGAAGCTGGGAGAGGTGCACTAGCACCCCTCTTCAAGGCATCCGAAGGAAGACTATCGAAAACTCGAAGAACATCAGCGGCACTCACATGACCCTCGTCAAGTGATGAACTCGCTTTGCCGCTCTGTGGCCCCGCACCATCACGGTGCCTCGGGGACCTGCTGCGTGCGGCCTCCACCAGACTCGGCGGGGGCCTAGCGATGGCACTGTATGAGCCAACGTTGTGCTCGTGATGATCCTCTCGATCAACACCCGGGTTCGGGCGACAGTCCACACCACTCGGAGGAGAGCCGCCCGTGCATGCACTGTTCGGCCGATGAACTCCTTCTCGGAGGCACTGCGCTGCACCATGGTTATGAGCACCGCACTTAGGCACTGCACAAATGTGCAGGCCTTTCTCGCACTTTTGCCCCTTTGTCGAGCAGCCACCCAGATTGAAGGCAAAGCAGATTGGGTCGCCGCGATTAGTGTGAGACCTGCAGCCTTCCAAACCGGCGGGCAACTTAGTCGCGAACCTCTGCTTACCTTTCTTTCCTTTGCCCCCACCTTTGCTAGAAGGAGAAGGCCTCTCCCACTTGGGAGCACCCGGCTTCTGGGGAGTGTCCTTCAAGGAAGGGACCGGAAAAGGTTGCAGCAGGCACGCCACCTCGTTCATGTACATCGTATCCGGCAGGAGCGAGTCCAACGGGCGACCCGATGCGACGGTCTGCACACCCGCCCTGGTCTTGTCACGAAGCTCAGCAAACAGCTGCCGATCCGCCGACTCAAGCTGCTTCCAAGTGGGCCTGGCAAAATGCTCCGCAGGCGATTGCATGCGAGCCTTCATCAAGCGCTGAGTCCATTGATCAGCGACACTGAAATCGATCAAGTTCGCCTGATTCGCTGAACAAGTATCTCTGATGAAGTATCCGCAACCAAGTCAGGCTGCTTATGCTCGATCCGAAGCTTGCCAGAGGACTCCTCAACAGTGAACCTGACATCACGTTTCTTCTCGCCAGCCAGTTCAGCTTCCTTAGACACACACCGGTCCCACGGAATGTACCTCAGCTCATTCGCCTCGTAGGAAGCCACAGCAAGGTCGACAAGTGCATCGGCAGGCTCCAAAGGCCCTTTAAGCGATATCCCGACAAGCTTCTTTGCCTGCCGCTCGTACTGCTCCGACCTCTCAGGCCGGGACAAAGGCCTGACAGTCGACTCGGGATCGGCCTTCTCAATCCTCTGCTTCATTTCCGCGGTCACAACGGCATAAGCCTCATTGTACACCGCACGCCAATTCGCCATGTCTGCAATTGTCAGTTCTCGCTTCAAGATATCCTTCAACACATGCACCAACGGCTCCTCGTCAGTCTGACCGGGGGTGAAAGAAGAAATGAAAGCCAGCCTCCTCAAGTTTCCCACCTCTGGCAGAATTTTCTGAACGTCACCTTCCGCGAAACCCACGATGCTCAATCGTGACTGCAGAACCGATTGACTCTCAGAGTAGTTCGCCATCTTCAGGAGCAGGAACCGGGCTAGCAATCCTCTTAAAAGTCACATGCTGAATGTTCTCAGTGCGTTCCCGAACCTGCAACTCGTGGCCTGGACTCCGACTTACCAGGTTAAGCACAGACTTTCTCAGACTGAGCCGACTCCTCAGGAACGCGATGCTTGCTTCTGATGCATGTCACTCGAAAACCCTCACAATCACACACACTCCTGGAAGCACTCAGCCTAAGCGCATAACGCCACAAACACTCAGAAGCTCCTTTTCACAGCATCTCCTCAGCATCACTTCTTAGGTGGGCAGCAGCTTCTACACAGCGGAAAGAAAATTCGAGGGACGGAGGACAGCCTTACATACCTGGTCGAGATGTTCCTGCCACATCTGAACTTGTCGCCTTCTTCGGACGCGCCAGCGTGAATGAAACGGCTGTCTCTGTTTCTGAACAAAGGAACTGCTTCGAGCTCGGCACGCAAGCCTGCATCGGGCTCCCATTGCCTTCCCAACACGTCGGTGGCCGCCTCCGCAGCTTCATGATCTACATCCTCGGCATCCTCGCTGGCCTCGGAAGAAGAATCCGACAGAACCTCGTCAGGAGGAATGGGCACCCCTTCGGGATCTTCAAAGCGCTTCACGAAGTAACCGGACCTGGTGGCATCCGGCCTGAACCTTTCGCTTGACACTTCGAGCAAAACCCCTTGCGGCTGCCGCACAGGAGCAGACATGTTGTCTCTCCCATATATGAGTTCGGTTCCATCACGGCCCCTGGCATGATAGCCAAGGGCCGCTCTCACCTCGCGGGTCAATCCGTATTTGGCGCTCCAACTCAAGGTCGTTGCCTTGGGACTATATGCGTCCCAAGCGGTTCAACGGAAGACCTGTCGCAACCTGCACGGATCAAAAGTGCCTTCATCCATTTCGTGGCACTCGCCACCGCCAACGGCGACGTTTGCCACCCTCCTCCAGAAAGCGGACTCGGAAGCAAGGGTTTACCCGCCCCCATAGGAGGCCCATGCTCCTTATAGAACTCAAACCACTTGACACCCCAGGGCACCTCGCCTATTCCTTTGATGGGAGCGAACATGTGCGCTCTCCAGTGAAAACGAAGTCTTGCTTCGCTCAACAGCAGCCTCCAAGTATCCCACCGTGCCGTCTGGGGTATCGCTCAAGTCGCAAGTCATTGCACCCGCAGCCTGGGCATCCGAATACCTTGCTCGTGCATACAAGGTCCAAACGAAGAAGCCAGAAGCGACCCGGTCGGGAGGTTCGAGCGCGATTGAACCGGAGGCGATGGCCTCCAACTTGCGCACATGATCAACCTTGAGAGCTGGCTTCTGTCGAGTCTTCCTCTTTTCAAGATACAGTTTCGACGACAGTCCACGGACCCTAGGGATGAAGATTTCATCACTCACCTTCAAGCTCACAGTGAACTTTGCAAAAGCGAGGCTGCTCAAGAAACTCCTTGCGAACGTGGGCGCCTCGTGCGATGCATAGTCTTGAAGGAAAGCATAGACCCCTGCTTCAGTGACAGGGAAAGGCTTGACCTGGCGACCTCGGCAATGCTTGACGTACCTGGCAAGAGGCCCAGCACGACCAGAGATCGTGACGCTCGCCTTCTGAGAAAACACATCTTGCAAGGAAGACTTCAAGTCAGCATTTCGCCCGTTTTCCTTGTCTAACTGAATTGACAAAGTCAGACCAAAATCCTCAGGGAACCTTTCAAGAATCCCAAGCCACTTTGCCAAAGCCGCCTCCCTCGCTTCGGAGAGTTTCTGATCCCGGCTTTGACCCGGCACACTCGGGACCCTCACTCCTGCAAGCCTGAGTGACTCAAGCTTTCCTGAAGACGACTTCACCGGCCCTGCAGGACCGGCCGGCCCTACGGGCATTGTCACGATGCATCCCCCTTTGGCGAAAGGTGAGGGCAAGGCAGGCATGTCAAGAAATGCAGACGCTACTTCCCACGGCATCTTAACTGCGCTTCCAAGCCCTCGGGATGCCACACGTGTGGAAGACACGTGATGACTCTCGTAAGCCCCAAGCACGCGAGCCTTCTTGAGGTTACTTTCAAGAGAGTCACATTCTGACATGCTGGCTGCAGAATCGGCCTTGTCAAGCCAGCATGGCTCACGCTACACCCCACTACAAAAATTTTCCGGCCCTTTGGCCAGGGAGTAGCTACCCACCCATCCCACCCGTCTCGAGGCGGCGCGGGAAATTAAAGATATAAACTCGGACGATTCAAAGCATGCGTTCATGCCATGAAATGTGGTTCAGAATAAAGCAAAGGCGTTTTGAAAACTTCGCAAGAATTTTCAAAACTCTCCTAGGAAAATAAAGCTAGTAGAGGCAAGCCTCATGTGTCGCTTCTTCTTTGGTCTTTCGTAATCACCATACTCTTCAAGTCCTACAGACTTCCTTTCCATGATTGCGATGATCACTGAGTTCTCTTTCGCTTCTCCAATGTTCACCTCTTCGCTTCCTTTCCATAGTTCTCCGCATTCGAAAATTCCAGCTCATCCCACACGATATTGTCATCTTGATACCGCGTGAACAGAGTTGTTCTGTAAGCGAATGTTGTGACTTCCTTTGATGGGTTGTATGTAACCGTCTTGTCCCAGTCAAACCTTGCAGGCTTTCCATCTGACATGAAAAACCATCCTTCATGATACTTCATTGCTTCTAGATCATCTTGAATCTGCTTCGTGAGCGTAAGCTTTCTTACCTTCTGAACTTCTTCTGTTGCTCCTTTCACTTGAGCTCTGTAGATCTTCAACTCAGTCACCGTTGAGTCATGAGTTCCTCACAAACCTGACTGGCACTCTTGCCAGTCCTTTCTTCAGGTAGGCATTCCACTCATCTATGGGGTCGAGTCCCCATCCAACTTTCCAAAGCTTGCCTACAGCAAACAATGGCTGCGCAACATCTCCAAACACTGCTGAGTCTCTCACTCTGATCACTCTTCCATCTGTTCTCTAAAACTCGAATGTGATGTTTGCTCTTGTCTCTGTGGTCTTGATTCTGTTTCCTTGAGCATCTTGAATAACCATCTTCAGAGCTGGGAACTCTACCGTACCTAAGTCTTCACTATAGTACGCTAGAGGTAACACGTGGCAATCTGCACCACTGTCGAGAACGACTTCTACCAGCTCTGAGTACATAGCACTCACTGCTCTCACCTTGTGACCTTGACTTGGAATCTCAACTGGTTGATCTATCCATTCTTGCTTCAGCGTTATCTCATCTTCTGAGTCTGTAAACCTTTGACTTGGAATCTCAAATGGTTTCACCATCCAACCTTGGTTGTTTATGCTTGACCAAAACAGTACAGTTTTCTTCACCTTGACCATTCTTGCTGCCCACTGATAGGCTGTTTCTTCAAACATTCCTACCAAGTCAAAATAGTCTTCGTCATTTACAAACACTTCTTCAATGACTGGCATGGGTGTCGTAACCAATCTTCTCACTTGTTCTGTTCCTCTTGCTGCTGGCGCATTCCGTGCCTGTGAGGATGATGCACTTGCATCTTGCTGCTGATGTCCACCAGTCCATTCTTCATCACCGATCTCTTGAACATTTCTCACCTTTCCTTTTCCTTTCTTTCCTTTCTCTTGCGTTGGTGACCAACACTCCGAAGAGATATGGCTTGGCTTTCCACAGTTGTAGCAAACTGGTCCTTTTCTTTTACCGCTTCCATCTCCGTAGCCTTTGCCTTCAACCTGTCTCACATTCTTTCCACCTTTTCCTTTCTTACCACCTTTGCCTTTTACGTAACCTCGTCCTTTTCCTTTTCGTGCTCCTTTTCCTTTTCCGAAACCTCGGCCTCTTCCATAACCATAACCTTTTCCTTTATCTCCTTTACCTTCTCCACCTTTTCCATGCTTTCCACCTTTACCTTTGTCACTTGTTCCTTTCATGTTCAACCGATCTAACTCCATTGGGATTGGTCCTGTGTAATCCTTGTTGTGTCCACTTGCTGTTGGTGCTTGGAGGCTTAGTGATCCCAATATGTTCTCTGCTGACCATGTCTGGGTGCTTCTTTCGTATTGCAGTAGCTTTGTCCTTAGCTCAGCATACGTCGTCTTCTCTGAAGTGTCAACCATGATGTGCTGCTTGAGGTGGTTCGGAATTCCTGTGAGAAGTGTTCCTATCTTGGGGTTGTCGTCATACTTCGCTGAGCTGATCTTTTCGTACTCTGACAGTAGCTTCTCAAATGTCAAGACGTAATCCATCAGCGATGCTCCTTTGCTCATTGCCGGGAATCCAACCAATGCCTGTGCCATGGCTAGACTCCGTGATCGGGAGCTTGGCTCGAGTTCAGCTTTCAGCTTTCTCCATACCTCGAACCCGTTCATGTTGTCAACACTTCTGAGCACTTTCAGTGGTCTGTTTCTCAGGTAACTGCTCAATACCGAATACAGCTTCATTCCTCGAACTTTCCTTGCATCCTTCCCTGCAAAGAATGATCCTGCTAACTTGATCTCATTCTCCTCATCTTCAGCTGCCTTCAGATCATCCATAAATCCTTGATCCATGAACGCTAAGAAGTTCTTAAACGTAAATGCCCAGTCGCTCCATTGCGACACTTCTTCTTCCAGAGTTCCGAAGCTAAACGCTTCTGGCGGTTTGAGGATCTTTCCTCCTGTATCGAACGTCGTTGTTGAGGGTTCTGCTGGTCCGCTTGGTGCAGAAGGTGTTGCTCTTGTTCCTGGAGCTTCCAGTAACCTTGTAAGCGCACCTGTCAGCTGCTGCTGCTGCGTTGCTGCCTGAGCTGCTACAGTGGTCATCGCTTTTGTAGCTCTTCCGAGGTTCGTCATCAACTGATCAAACCTCTCTTGCTGCGCAGGCTGTGGCCTCGGTTGTGGCTGTTGCGGTGGCTGCGGTGGTTGCTGCTGTGGTCCAAATTGACCTTCTGCTTGTTGAGACATTGTTTCAGCAATCCTTCACTTATTCCGAATTTTCCGTTGGCTGGCTCAAGGTCTTGTCGCTTCCACGTCTCTTCTTTCTCCGGCAGGATGCTCTCGGACTTAACCTTAACTTCCTGCTCCACTCTCTCTTTGTCACTGTTCAACCTTTCCAGCTCTCAGCTGGCTTCCCTAGATCTTTGCTTGATCAGCTGCCGGTCTTCGCCAACAGCTCCCCTACCATGAAAGTTTAAAACCTTTTACCAACGTCAACTTCTAATCCCTTGTCAACACACGGGCGCCACACACACTATTTTCCCGCTGTGCTTGAGCCGTCGCTTGACCTACGGAGACACGCAGTGAAACTAGCTAAATTGGGCATACACAGCAAATTGAAATGTGGGTTATCTTCACAGTGTATGATTCCCTGTGGGATGTGTTTGGTGGCGTTCTGGACGATGCTGTGTTTGAGAGTGTCGCGTGAGTGTTGTTGGTGTTTTGTGAGTTGCTGCTGAATGAACTGCTTGACGTCCGTCTCATCATCTGCCGGAGTGGGTAAGTGGTGCTGCTTGTGCCATTGGATAATGGCGGCTTCCAGGCTGCTTTGGAGTTGGTCTGTAGGCGGTAAGAAGGTGCTCTTTCCTGAATACTTCAGGAAAGGTTGGTCTGGGACCAACTCATGAAGTGGGATCACGAGGTGTTGGTTGTGTACATGTTGGGTGTGTTTGCTGTGTAGTGTGGAGCATGTGAAATGTGGTGGATGACTTGGAGACCATGTGTTGTGTGCCCGTCTCCAGTTGCGTAGGAGATCTTGTACTCGTCGGTGTCTGGGGTGTATGAGTCTCGTGGTAGGTGGATGTAGTGGGATGGAGTGTTGCTTGTGCTTTGTAATGCGGTCACGGAAGAATTGTCTTGTGTCGCTGTTCTGCGATCGGTGGCACAGGAAAGGGATCTTGGCGGGGCTTCTGGCCTTTGGGCACGGGGGCTTGCACTTTTTGAGGGCTGTTTGGACGGCTTCGGTGGCTGGTATGTGGAATGGTGGAGGAAGGTTGTGGGAGAGTCTGTGCAGCACATAAAGCTGTGCTGGGGCGGTCTTGCGACGAAGCAGCTGTTTCGTTTGTTCGAAGCGTCGTCGGGTGTTGGAGGATAAGTCGCAAAGTATTGTCCATGTGTTTTGTTGGCTTTGGAATGCTTCTGAATGCTGCGAAGGCTGAAGCTTGGGTGGCAACTTGTTGGTGGCGCGCGCGCGGGGTCGGAGGTATGGCAGTCTGGCAGTGGAGGAGGGCTGCTTGGTCGATGTCGACGCTCTGCTGAGCAAGTTTTGATAGCATCGTCGACGCAAAGATTGCAGGTAGTGACTTTGTAAAAACCGGGTATCTCCCGGCGCTGGGCGATGTTACGAATCCAATAGGAAGCCCACTGGTGCCTCGTGATGCTCAAAATGGGCAGGGTGTCGATAGGGCAGTTGGCGATGCCCAAGCGCTCTGCCCACGGCGTGGATTTGACCAGCTTGGGCAGGTCGTGCCGAAAACGAACCTGCAGTCGTGATACTCGGGCGCTGACGAAATCGTTGGGAAGGGAGGGTGTACGGTAAATGCTTGGTGTGGAAGCTGGCGTGGGGGCAGATGTGGTGAAGGAAGGCGGGTGTGGGGGAAACTGGGGTGCCTGCGGGCGGTGTGGGGAGGGTGTGTTGGTTGCGTGGTGTGGTGTCTGGTGGTGCTGATGGTGATGTTGACTGCTCAGGTGCCCATGCCTTGCGGTGGCCTTTACTTGCCGCGATGCCCCAAAGGTGGCGGGGGCAGCGGCTGCCGCATGGTGTGCGAGTTCTTGTTGTCACACGTAAGCAATGCCCCGAAACTGCAAGTTTGCTTGGGCCGTCAAAGCTGCATGCACTTAGTTTTGCAAATATGTGTGAGCACGGAACTGGTACATGTGCAGTGGTGCAAGTAACCTGTTTGACACTCCTGGCATTCCTTCTCAAGGCTACTTGAAAAAGGTGTCTGGGCACTCCCGCAAAAAATGACAAGAACATCTGAGCTTGGCGCGAACGAGCATCTTGGCGCATGCAGTTGATCTGACGTTGTTGCGGTCATCAGGTCTGTCGGCGCCTGTTGCTCGTGTGCCTGCTGATACGAACTTGTCAAGCTGATCAACCTGTGACAATGGCTCAACCAATGTGCCCTCCTCTGTGTCATCTGAGTCCTTACTGCCCGTACGATGTTGCTGCAAAGATGTAGAAGTAGACGGTTTGGAGGCTGATGAGGCTGGCTTCTTCTTGACAGAAGTTTTGTCGAACTTCTTGTGCTTCTTGGTCTTGATCTTTTTTCTGCTGTTGTTATTTTTGTCTTTCTTGGCTGTTGAGCTTGTAGCTGGTGGGTCGAAAGCTGAGTGCCACGACGAGTCCTCGTCGGATGTCGCCATGTTCCTGTCAGGCTGGCGATAATGTAATGTTATGAAAATTAACAGCAGAGAGAACCAACTGTTGCAGGTGCTGTGCTCGGCTCTTTGTCGCGGCGCGAGGCCGTCTGCTGCGCTTGCGATTGTAGCCGACAATGACTAGGGCTTCAGGCCCTAAAATGGGCAGAATGAACTCCCCAACGGTCCGGCGTTCTTATCACGCCTTTCCTCGTGCACACGTTTGCCCGACTACTATTCCCAGCGTACGGGAGGAAAGTTCCCCCGGTGGCCCCGCGCCGGAGAGGACGCAGGCTTTCGATGGATCATCTGGGACAGACGTAGGCCGGATAATTCCCTGCAGCCTGATAGTTCGTTCCATGTTGACATAAAGAGCTGGCGGGGCGTCCCGCATGGTCTCCCTGCTGACGCCGAATGGTGTCGGTGCAGGGAACTTCCGGTGCGTGACAGGGATCACCAGGGCCGTGTGAGATTGTCCACGGTGATAATCTCTGATGTCTGCAGCACTTCCGGTGCCAGCCGACAACGCCATGTGTGCCAGCTCGACGGCCATCGAGCTTGGCATTGGGCATGGGTTGCTTGCAAAGACTCCAGGTACTTGCCGTTCGAGTAAACGGCCACACTCTCAAGCGTCTTAAAGTACCGCCGCTTTAGAAACTGACGCTGTCCCCGATGTTGACCAAAGGCGGGCTCACCTGCAAGGTCACACGGCCACCGAAGGTTTCTTCAAACCTCGCTCGCTCAACCTCGGTGCTTGCCAACACGCCATCATCGGCATGAAGGATCAGGCCGCTGTCCTTCCCCTTCGCAGTGCTCTTGAACAACGCTGGCTCCTTCACATAGCTCTCGGCTCTCGAGGCTAGCCTTGCTAAGGATTTCACGGGCAAAGTTAAACCAAGCGGCACCAATCCTCTGCCCAGGAAGAAGACGATCGAGGACCAAGGTGACGGTTCCCGGGGCGCTGTCGCCAAACGTGATCCGTTCCACCTGGATGGTCACCGGGTGAGGCTGTGGAACATTCAAATTGGCATCTGACCACCTTCTTTGTTCGGACCTGGTAGCCACTCGTGTCCTCGCCTTCCGCCGGCCACCTTAAGCCTAGCAAGCCAGCTCCTAAGAAAAGGCCTATAGGTATCTCAGGATGCCGACGCGTCCGGGGGAGGCTCTCCGCACCCAGACTTGACGCGGCCTCTCTTCAAAAGCTTATTCGTGAAAATGAGCTAGAGGAAGAGCAGGAGCGGCACCACTGGCAGAAAGCAGGAGTCCATCGACATCCGCGGCGGCAGGACGACCAGTGGGGGGAATTTTCGCCTCGAAGGTCAGAGTTCGACATCAAGGTCTCCGACTGGCTTTTGAACTCCACCAGCGCCCGTACCTCCTGAACGACCGGGACTACGATGCCCACACTCCGCTCCTGATCGAGGTTCACGCGAACCAGTACACTGGCAGCAGGCAGGATGAGGGCGATGAACCGTAATCCCGAGACCATGAAACAGGCAGCGGACAGGAGGAAAGAGAGGCAGAAGTTGAACAAGGCGCGTGGATCTGGTTCTGGTCTCCTGGTGGCAAAGCAGGCGGCAAAGGAGGCAAGTCCTCTAAAGGAAAAGGCAAATACTCCGACAAGGGCAAGTCCAAGGGCAACAACAAAGGGAAGAACTGACTAGGTTCTGGCGGCGGCGAGGACAACTACGACGACGTTCCTGAAACGAAGACGTAGGTCCTGGCCCCACACCCTTTGATGACGAACCGTGGTTTCCATATCGTCTACAACTCCATTACTGGCGTTTAGACCCTGGACCGTGGTCTACTCACATCGTCACCTACCGCATCCAGATGATAGCCCTCGGGTTCGTCAACTGATGGAGCGGTACCGACGGGAACAAGGTCCGATCGAAGAAGTGGACTGAGTGTTTCACGGAATGCTTCTTTCAGAAGAAGGTATCCACCTTGAGCATTCGTCATTTCATAGGGAGATGCTTTTCTCAGGAAAAGGCACTTCCTCAAGACCTTGTCAAGAAAGAAGAAACTTATTTCAGGATAAGATACTTCTCAAGCCCTCAACAATTTGCTTCGCCGCAATGATATCATGCTGGCATCAAGTGGAGCTAAGCTCTACAACATCTTATTTGCAGTATGCTTTCCACCTGGAGAGGGAACTGAACACAACAGTGGGCAAACTTTCAAGCAAAAGTTTTCAACCGAAGATCCGTTTGTGTTTCGTGCGTGTTCTGACCTGTTCATGAAGCTGTCTCCAGACAAGAGAATGTACAGAACTTTGAGTGTAGCTCAAGTCTTTCTCTCAAGTCGCAGATGTAGCTCAATCCTCCGGTAATTTGACCCGAGCGATAACGGGCTTGTAGAATGCCGACTCCACGGCCATGCAGCTCTACGTGTTTAAAATTTGTGCCTGCTTGAAACACTGAATCTTACACATCCAGGTGCCTGTCTGTTTCACGTATCACTTGCATGTATCCATGCCTGTTGCTCGAGGTTCTAGTGCAGTGGACTACAGCTGTGCGCCTGTAGCAAAAGAGACACCTGAGTGCCTGTGTTCCTGTACGCCTAGCGAGGGTACACGTCCAGGTTACATCTCAGGGGGTGTTTTCGTACTGATGCCAACAACTTTCTTTGCAACTCCGCAGTTTTGACGAAGTTCCGGGGGCCCGTAGACCTTTGCACCCCTCCGCGGCAGAAGCGCCGCACTGTTGGGTCACGTGCGAGACGCGGGGCTAAATCAGCGAGACGGCATGGGTGTAGTGGCAACGTTACCCATCAAACTGCAGCAGCCCGGCAGTGCTCCAAAGCCTGAAGTCTACCACAAGATCAAGGACACTTCCTTGTTCCAGCATGTGGCGACCAATAGGAACACTGCCCTGCACGGCGACGGTGCACCTGCCTGGCCGAAGCTTGTGAAGGAGCTGCACAACAAACGTGTGAGATCGTACCACGTCTCGCACAACAAACACGAGTTTGTGCGAAAGGTGTCGCGCAAACGTGGAGGTGTGCTCCTCTCTGGAACTCAATGCGTGGAAAGGTTTTGGCAAGCCCTTGACGGGTACATGCCTGCGACAATCCACAGCAAAAAGGATGCCGGAGTCAATCCGCGCGTCCTCATATACCTTTACAGTTTTGTTTGGCGGTCTCAGTTGAAGATCGACTAAGCAGCCATAGGGAAGGTCTGCTGAGAAAACGTGCAACGCCCTAATTTTCAAGGCAGTATGATCCCACATAGTCACTTCAAGAAGCATAAATGCAAATTGCTCACATTGTCTAGCAGGCGGGGGTTAAAGCACATTCGAATTATATGCTGCATAAGAAAACCCACACGGCCTTTTACATACGTGTGACCACATAGGGACCCCCAACGTCATTGCCGCAGCCGTCGAAAGCTTGGGCTGGGTTCGACAGCTCGGCGACATGAAACAACGCCAACACATCCCTGGCTCCCTCAAGGTCCTCATCATCGAGCTCGGCTATTGTCTTAACTGCCTCCCCGTGATGCGGCACCGGGAGGAGTCATGACATACGCCTCGATGACATTCACAGAGGCGTTGCCGCGGTACACAGAAGCCGAAGGAGGCGAGGTAATCGACACGATTGAGGGGGCCACTGAAGACGCCGACGATGGCGTCGGCTGCTGCTCGACCTGGTTCATCTTGCCCTTCTGCCCTTTCCAGCTGCCTTTACCTTTCCCGGTCGCCTGTGCGCATTCCCACTTCCCGTGCCCATGCTTCCCGCAGATCCGGCAAGCCTCGGGATCATTCCAAGCATTGGCGGTCCACTGGCTCCCCTGACTGTAGCCCTTTCCGTCCTTGTTTTTGCCGCCCTTGCCCTTGCCGTCCTTGGCCTTGCCTTTGCCATCCTTGCCCTTGTTGTTGCCCTCCTTGCCATACTTGCCCTTGCCGTCCATTTGTCTTGCCTCTGCCATCCCGGGCCTTTCCCTTGCCAGCCCAGATCCGGTCCACGTCCATGGGCTTCTGGCCGCCATCATCGTACTTTCCTCCGCCTCCGGGCTTTTGGGCTCCACACTAAATTGCCACCGTGCCCCACGGAGTGTTCAAAGCCTCGTGTTGTAGGATCCATTCCCGCAGCTCGGTGTAGGAAGTGGTCGGGCTCATGCGAAATTGCACTCGTGACTTAAGCGGCTCGCGTCCAGTCAGAACCGTTGCCAACACGAGGTCCTTGCTAAATTCTTTGCCGGAGGCGGCTTCATAAGCCCGAAGGGCTTCCTCGTAGCGGATCAGCTGCTCGTGCCAGCCGCCTTAGAAGTGCCAGCGATCGTGCCTTCTCCCGCGGCTCCATATCATTCTTGACAACCCTCACCGCCTCATAGCCCGACTTGCTGTGCTCCAGGAGCAAGGGTGTCCCTTTGAGCAAAGAGCAAAGGAGGCTGTAAAGCTTCTGGCTCCTTTTCACCATCTCGTCGGGCAGCAGGGCGTGGTGAACCTCTGTTTCGAAGTCAATATTCTTGAGGTCATCCTCGTAGCCCGGGTCGTGGGCTATGAGGTAGTTCGAGAGGCCAAACCACCACTCTCTCCACGTCCTCAGCTCTTCTTCTCTTCCCTGCGGCTTCCAAGCGTCGACCTTCAAGCATTGTCAGAACGCTGGCTGCCGGCCTGTTGCTCTGCAGCTCGGGCCGCGCGCTCACTTCATTCAACCAACTTGCCAAAAATACTTGTAAAAGCCTGCTCTAGCCTCTGTTTGACAATGCGATCCACGAACTGTTTGGCCTGCTACTGCTGCCCGCTCGGGCCCTGCGCCGCGGCGGGCGCCGCTCCTGCTGCTCTGTGCCATCCCTGGCCGTTTGCCTGGGACATCTCTCTGAAGAACTTCCGGCCGAAGCCCAATGAAAACCCAGCTTCAGCTTTCTCGTGCGTGGCATCTCTGCGCCTGCTTCCGCCCTTTCCCTCTGCAGCCTCGCTCATTTCACCAAGCAGTGCCGCTCAGGGGCCAACTGCTTTCGAACTCCGGTGCTGCCCTCCCAAAGGTCTTACGCTCAAAACGAAAAATGCGCTGCCGGCCCAGTCAAGTGCAGCGGCAGGTGGGCTTTGGCAGATTGAACTGCAGCAGAGGAAGGCAGACAATGTTATTATCCGGTGAAACCTGGTTGTCCCAAAGGCTTGGGGAAAAGTCGAGGCCTCTACCCTAGAGAACATTTATGGGCTCTGGGTCCTGGCACCGGATGCCACGGCTGTCGTGGGAGACACAAAGAATCACCACGTGTAGCCGGGCTCCGCTACCATGCAAAACTGATTCCAGGGCTGCGGCAGGTGACATCATGATACACACGCGAGGGTATTCTTGCAACAGCAGTTGTCGGGCCACTGCAGCTTTTCTGCCGGGTCAAGTAATCTGGATATTCAGGCGTTGGGATGCGGACGTTCAAGTACATTTGTCGGAGGGTTGACAAATGTACGCTTGTCAGCAGTAATGATACTGGTATTGATCTGACATTTGGTGCCACAACGCGCTGTTCTATCACAGACAATGCACTCTCAAACCATCACCCAGAAGCTGAAGCCATCTCAAAACAAGCAAAGGAACCCGATGCAAGTTAGCAGGCCTCCTGAGAAGCATCCGTCGGGACACATTGGAGGTAAGTGTCAGTTTGGGCCACCTCACATCAAAGGGCGACCAGAGCACCAAGCCCGCACGATCCCGAACGCCGAAAGCCTCAAGCCCAACAAACAAGTAAAGTCGAAGCAAAGCCAAAGAAACCAACTGGCAATGCAGAGGTCTTCGGGCTCGGGGCTTTTTGGGTTCGGGCGTTGGCCTTGGAGGGTTGCCACTCTGGGAAGGACTTGGGGCACTTTCTGAGCAGCATGACATACGTCATTGATAGTAATTCTGTGCTGCAGTGCGTTTGAAACATGGTGCAACAGAAGCCTGCAAACTTGTAAGGCCGTGCGTCGGCTTGGGAAAGGTTGAACACGCTCTGGCACATTGAAGGGGTTTTAAGGTGCCTCTGGCAGCTTGCCAATTCTTTGCAGCATCTTGTAAGCCGTGAAACCGTGTCCCGCCCGTTCCCGGGCTCTAAGTTAAAATCGCGAACTTCCTAAATCCTGTACAATTAATTTACTTGATCGTCTATAAACCCACTGCTGCAAAGACCTCAAGTCCGTAAACGCTCTCAGTAAGCAGCCCTGACACACACAGACCCCAGACATGTAGCTTTGAAGACACAGCAGTCGCAGTCATCATCGCAAACATCGACACCGATTGATCTCTGAAGCCACATGCAACTTTGCATCACGAGCCACGAAATGAATAAGCCATCGAATCTTACGCAGCAAGGAACATGTTGGAAAGTATACATGGAGGCCGCGATCACCTTCGAAATCCGAACAATCCGACGAAGACGAACAGCAAGTAGAGCAACAGGAATGAAAGCAGGAATCCCCCGAAACCGTTAAACCGCAACTGATCCCGTGGCACCAACCCCGAACCCCCCACCATTTGAGGCGTGTGCCCGTTCGTAGCGGTCCTTGCATTTGCTCTTGTCCTGCTCTTAAGGATGTTAAACTCGGGGCAAAGAGGCTGGATGCTGCATGAGCTGCCGAGAACTGAAAACTCTTCGGGTTTCATGGTTGGGGTGTCGAGCAGCACAACGTCCTGCACAGCCCCGGTTCCGTAAGCATCGTTCACATGCTCCTTCTTGTTCGCAGTCTTGGGTGTGGGCAGTGCACACATTTCCAAAAACGGTGCATCAGCGGCTGTTTGAGCTGCGTAAGCCTGGACAGCGCTGTCAAAGCTGCGACCAGATCAGAATGTTGAAGCCCGGAGCCTCTTCAGCATGCTGTGCTCGCTCCGTCGGTGGTTCGTACCCTGAATTTACTGGTTGAAGCATGTATCTATGTTTGTGATTCCTGCAGCTGGATCATGATGACATCTGCCTCTGGCGCTGGTGTTCGAGACTGAATTCGGGAGAAAATTTCTGCCTTTCTGTTGCCCAGCGGCTCTCGCCGTGGCATGGTGCGCATTCTCCATTACAATCACTTTGTCCCGCCGTTCATTGACAGGGTTTTCACCATTTTGGCCTTTTGTCTGTCAAATCCTGGCAGCAGAGGTCGCCATGGCAGCTGATGCTGAAATTTGCCCTGGCGGTCAAGCACATCTCTTGAACCTGCCCACTCATGAGGCGATGGCGATGACATCTCTTGAACTCGTCCCGCTCACAATGCGATGGCGGTTAGTCACTTTCTTACAGCCGCCCCTTCACTGAGCTAAGCAATGGGGGGTAATCATGTGTCTCCAACCCGTTGACGGCACAAGCTCCTTCATAGCAAGCTCTGCTAGGCAAGAAGAAGAATCGCAGGGCGTAGCAAGCACAATGACTCGATGACATAATGACCGGAATGGAAAGCGCCTTCGACAGCATGAGGCGTTTCATCGCAACCTTTGCATTGGGGCGCAGCGCCCCTACTTGCGAACACGATGCACAACAAGTCAACAACGCTGAAGGCAGCAAAGCAGAAAACAATAACAAGAAGCAAAGCGGTAGCAGCCACAGAAACAGATAAGATAGCAAGAAAACTGAAAGCAACAAAGCAACCGAAAAGACGAAGCGAACTAGAAAGGCAGTAAACAGCAGCAGGATGCAAAATCGGATAGCGGAGCAGCATTACCAAAACGCGACATAAGCAGTAGAACACAAAAAGTACCGGCAAACACATCCCAAGATGAAACACAAGCGCCTGAAAAAAACATAGAGCTCCGTAGACAAGCCGACGGGGTCCTTGATCTTGTCGCAAGCCACGTCGTCTTTCGGCTTGTCCAATAAAGTTCCCTTGCACCTGGGATTAGCATTGGGGTCGGTGCTTCTGCTCAAGCCTCAATGCTTGGCTGGAGGAGGCCCACTGCGGGCATCTGCTGGCGTTCGGCATTTGGAGGAAGCTCAGGGCTGACACCAAGAGAGCACCAACTCCTAGGTTGAGCTGCCGCTCTGCATGAGTCTGGTAGAACTTCAGAACCACCCCAGTTCTTGAAGCGCAGTGCCGTGTCGGGCACGGCAAATCGATTGTGGTTCTCGGCCGTCTTCTGCTGTACACAGAACGGTCAGCCAGCAGAAGGGCTTCCCACTGACATCAAACAACCCTGAACTGACCACACACTTCCACAGACACCACTCCAAGTCTCGGAAGGATGACATGCCCATCAGCAAAGTTCAAAATCCTACGGACTCCACCCCTAGACTCTTCGGGATCCCAACTGCCGTGCAAGAAACTGCCCTCAAGGCCCCATGCCCATACAGCAACTTTGGAATTAGTGTTTGATCTGTGTTGACCTTTGGTCGGCCCAGGCACTTCTGCATGGGGAGGCGCAGCGCCGACTTGGGAACTGCCTTCTTGGAATTGCCTGTGTCAGGTCCCTTGTACCGCATCTTCAAGACCTAACAAGGAGGACTTCCGGTGGTGCTTTGATGGACCTTAAGATGTTGTCCATGGCTTCAGGGTTTTTGGCGTTGGGTCAAGGCGTCAAGGAATTGGGCAATGGGATTTCGGCAGCCAGCCAACCTCTCCTCCACCGCGCTCGCACATATCCACCACCAACTTGTGGGCACCAGCCGTGTACTTTGTCTTGCTGCTCCCACGCTCACGCTCCCCATGGCAGCCGTCGTTGTCCACAACCTGCTTGTCGTTCAGCCACATTTTTGAGCCTCGCACATACTGCTTGACCAAACAACTGGGCCCTGGGACATGCTCATAATGTCATGATGCTGTGGCTGGTTGCCGGACAGGGCACCGTCGTCTGAACTGAGAAAGAAGTTGTACTGGCCCTCCTTTTTGATTATGAGCTGACCAGTGCACCTCTGCATGTAAAAACTCCAAACCCATTGAGTTGAGGGAAGAGCGTAGGCATTTGCAGGGTGCAGGTTTTGACAGTCCACCCATGGGCTTTCCAAAACCTAAGGACCTAAGGGTGCTGGGGCCAGAACTCCCTTGCCACGATGATGCACGGCACGTTTGCAATTGGGCATTCACAGTTTGTGGGACAAGTGCACTATTGCAGAGTTTCTGGGGTTGCGGTGAGGGGCCAAGTACACGTGGCGGTCAGCAACCCAAAATCAAAAGCGACTCCAGTAATCCCTACTTCTCGGGGAACTTGGAACACTTGCGCCCTAAGTGAGCTTGTTAGCCGTTCAACTTTGATTTGTCTGGCGCTATCGCAGAACTGCAATCTCCGTTCATGGACTAGAACTGACTAAAACGAAACCTCATCTGAGGAGATTGGCCCTGTATGCAGTTTCGGACAAAGATCTTCAGCAAGAGCCTCTGAGATGTACCTGTCGTTTGGGATGGGACGTATGTTTAGCGGCTGCTCGACTGTCCGCATACTCGGTTGGGCATGGCTGCACGAGAGATTTCACGGGCAAGTTTGAAGATCTGCGGTTCAGAGTTTAGGGATGTGGGTAAGCGAAGATTCCTCGAAGCCTTCGGAAAACCTCATCCCGAGCAAGCTCCACCTCCAAAGCATGCCGCACCATGTCGGTGCAACTACACAACAACGATACAATGATCCGCAGCAACGGTGCCACTAGCTGATCGCATAGCATAGCTGCTTGGGGCTAAAATCAGCTGTGGCCCTCTTCGGCCCCGGGGGCCGGGCCCGGCCTGATGCAAAAGTGATTGCCCTGCTTCACCTCAGGGAACTTGCCGTTTACCTGCCGGATGCCGCTGCCGTGCCGCCGGAGGTGCAACTCTCCTAGGTCCTACACAACGCTTTCAATTCTAAGTGCTGGCTTCCCCAGTAAGATACTGACACTGTCCCTAAAGCTTCCTAGAAAATTACGAAATCTACGTCCCCGTCCATCCAGATCTTCGGCACGACGACACGATTTGCAGGAGTCCTTGGCACTGCACATTCAAATATCGAGCATTGTCCTATGTTGGCTTAAATTGAGGACTTCATGCCTCAAACGCGAAGCTTCCTGAACCATCGCTGACCCGTACTTGCAGATTTGCCAACGGCGCCGCCGTGCTTGAGATCCCAAAACCTAAAGCCACGAAGACCAGCAAACCCTTTCCACAGGCCCATAACCCGAACCCTGAAAGCCTGAAACCTGGAATCCTCCTGAAACCGCTAAACCTTTTCAACCTCATGTTGCCGTCTCGACCCCAAGCAAAACCCTGGATGAAACGAAACAGAAAGACGTCGATGAGATCTCAGGTCTCTTGATATTCCCACTCCCAGACTACACAAGATACCAGCCCGCACTTAAGCCTCCACTCCAGACACACGCTCAGAGATCAAACAGCTCCATGAAGGACATGCCCTAACATCTGACAACTCAGGCAAGGTGTCAGTTTGCCGAGATCCTTGATGTGACAATCTGATTGGTCGTAGAAGTAGTGGCATTCCAAGCCTTCGGCAGCGCCCTCCTCGATTCTGTCAGGCTATGGCTTGAAAGCTGAGGCAAAAGGCGGATGCCCTTGACAGTTTTGGATGGGGGCTCCTGGCCTTGTTGTGCAACCTGCAGCCTTGAGGACTCCGCCGGATCAACCAACCCCATTTCATTACACAGCCCCGTGCCATGGGCGCCCCCACCAAAAGCAAGGTGGCATTTCCGACTGCATCCATGTTGGAGGAGCCCGCCTTCGAAGTGTCGAGTCAAGCTTAAAGGTCCAAGATTCCGGGCTTAGGGGCTCGTTGCAATCGTGCCGACGCAGCTGTGACTCGGAATCGGTGAGAAGAGACTTTCGCTAACTGAATTCTGCAGGCAGGATGGAAGCAGGAAGCAAGCGTCCATCCACCTGTACTTCTGCGAAACAGTTGCTTAGTTCGGTGCTTATGGCTCGACGAGTACGTGTTCGACCCTAGGCGGTAGCCGTTGATAAAGTACAACCAACGCGGAATCGTCAACCCGAGCGCACCATTGGAAAGATCCCATTTTGAACTCCCAACCGCCGTAATCTCGATGACTGCACGCCACACCACCCCGACGAACGTGAAAGGAAAATCCAAACAACCCGATACTGAATGGCAAGTGTGGTCGAATCAATCTTTGCTCCAGGCATGCCTTCGAAGGCAAGAGCGTGCATGCACAGCAAGCTGCAAAACGCGCAAGGCAGCTGGCTCAACTTACTCAAATGTCACTCACCACACTGTCGTGTTCGGTAGTTTGTGTTTTTGGCGGATATGGAAGACCACATAAGCCCCAAACTCCCAAAAAAAACGCAAAAGCAAACAATTGCAGAAACAACACTTGTTCGATAAACACATGAGCAAACCCGGTTTACTTCTGAAAACCCGGATTTTCTGAAATCACAGCCCATACCGCTTCTGCAGCTGGAAGCCTGCATGCCTCGCAAAGACGAGCCGTCCTTGCACACGGATCTCTGGCTCGGGGCTGTTGAGTAATCACTTGCAACGGACGTAGGAGTTAAGGTCAGGCTTTGGTTCGTCGGGAGAAGCAACCGTCGATTTGCACAACCGGCTATAGTTGGCATCGACTGCAAGTAATGCAACGTAAAGGGCAAAAGGTGGGCACTAAAGTTGCAAGAGTCAGGACTGGACTTTCAACCATATTTGATATGATTGCTTGCTCGTGTTGCTGACTACAGACTTGCGTCCAGGGTCGTTACTGTCGTTAATCTGGAAGGACACAGCAGCGAGGTTGTTCTTGCAACATGTTTGTCAAACCCCTCTTCTCGCAAAGCCTTCCCACCCCACTGCCCGAGAATAGAATTCGACCTTGTGGCATTGTGACATAGTTGCATGGTCGTATTGCGAAGATCGACATAACTAATTACATTTGCTGACATCACGCAGCATCAGTTGGCAAGGCATGCAGAACAACACCAAAATTACTCGGTGTCCTTCACCACGAAGGCTGCCACAGAGCACACCAACGAACACGACAGGAGGCGCAACATGGCAGCACGCGCGACACTACGTTACACAGGTCCGGTCAGCCTCTGTGCCACCGCACAGGAAACGGCTGCAGCGCACACATTTCGCAACTGATATGTGCTTGAAACACGCCGAAACAAACCTCGCTGGTCACGTAAACGCGAACTTGCTTACTTCCCGCACATAAGTGAATGCTTCCACAAGAATTTGCGAGCCGCGACAGCGTTTTGACCTTCGGCAAAACCGGTTGCTTCTATGGTGGAAACATCTCGAACTTCATGACGTGAATCTCATGCGGGTTGCTTTCATGGCAGCAGCATGTCTGTCCAACTTTTACTGGTTTGTGGAGCCTCTGAGCCCTTTTTTTGGCGTGAACGGGCCTCGGTGACAGCGGCTGCTGCGCTCGGTCCCAATAAGAGACAAGAAAAACGAATAAAGATATCTAACACCTGTACACAATGAATTTGAAAACAATCCTCCTTCATGCGAACTCTGAGCCTGCATACGTCGGTCGTAACATGGTTCTTCCATGCACTCAAAGCTACATGTCCAAAAGCTACCAAACTGTTCAATCAAAATACGGGTACGAGTACGAAAACAAGAGTTGATCACCCCGCCCAAATGCGTGTTGCACTTGAGCACTCGTATTTGCATCAACAACAGTACGAGTACGTTTTGCAGTAGCGGCCTAAGTAGCTAAGGGTTTTATGGCGTGTTGCCATGCTGCTAGCCTCATCTGTACACTACGTGATCATTCCATCCACAAGCTAGGGTCAGCTTGGGACGAAATGTCTCTTGACAGACGCAAGAGGACGCCATTCATGCGGGCTCATGCGCATGCTGCGCCCCTCATGTGCTTCATCTCTTTAAGATAGCACTCCAAGGATTGTCACGGCCTAATTACCGTGAAGAAGCTCATCACGATGCTTCCAACCAGGTTCAGGCCGCTCCACGGCCATCGAAATCGATGCGGAATAATCAAGATTGACACATCAAAATGATGTGTTTGCACGTGATGCACAAATGCATCGCTGCGGAGTTCAAGTACACTGGCCCACATCCGGTTCAAGCTCAAGTAGTCTATCTACAATCATCCGTCAACGAAGTGTTCCCGAAGGCTCACACCGCTGACTATGTACAAAGATGACCACTGCATCTGCATCATGAGCATTTCCCAAGTGGGACTCAAGCGTCACAAGAAAATGCTGATTCGTTCACTTCTGCTTGCGAGTGCCTCCAAAGCACCGTCCACATGGCTGGTGGCCACGTTCCTTGGCCTCTGCTAAGCCAAGTCTCACAATCTCATCAGCGTTGTTCAAGCATGTGCATCCTCGCTTTGCATGGTAAGCTTTACCACGTCTTGCAGCGCAATAAACATGCATCTCCGGTGTATGTCCTGGCACTGAAGCGTTACGCACACGTCCAGCAGTGGATGCAACTTGCAACGGTATCCCTGATGTCGATGATGAACTGCTTTTGCAGGCATTGATCACACTCTCCAAGCGATCTGTTTCATGCCTCTCTGCCACCAACAAGGATCTCACCTTGCGTAGCTGCATCATAAGCATCAGGCATATAAGCGAAGGCACACCGCACAGGGTTGCGGTGATCACACTCCATCGCCCATACACTGGCTCAGACATGTTCTGCTCGGAAGCGGTGGTCCTTGACGCACTTGCATCGTCCCTGCGGCGATCGGCCCGCAGCCGCTCAAGGCTCAGCATGGCACCAAGCAGGGACACGCAGACGACCAAGACGGTCAACCAAACGCTAATCCGCCTTGCCTCTGGTTCTGTCTGAACACTCACATCACGTCTTGTGCCACTTGCATCTGCACCTGCAATCAAGCTCACCATCATCAAGACGAGATTGCTGTTGCTCAACCCATTGGTTTTCAGCGACTTGTTGATCAGTCGCCGGACACGGGCTGTGTCCTTGCAATGCTGCAATGACTCGATCAGTTGATCATGATCGGCACGGCCTACCTCCTGAATGCAGTCACCGGCACAGTCGACGAAGTCATGCATGCAAAGCAGCGCTTTCGAGCGACTCCCAGTTGCCGGGACTTTGGTTCCCAGATCTGATTGGTTCCGTCGCCCATCGGCTGAGCCAACTCTCAGCGTTCCATCTGCCGTCTTCTCCTGCACCCAGAGAAACCGTCCATCAAGATGCCTGATCTTCGACACGCCTTGTTTCAAAGAGATCTGACGACAGCTCTGGTTGTCCGTGCGCATGCACAGGTCTACATGCTGTTCAAGCAGATATTCCAGCACTCTTTTCAAGTAGATCCCATCGCACGACGCTGAAACCAGAGCATAGAACTCGCTCTCAGTGCTGCTGAGGCTCACGCAACGCTGGCTTTTGCAAGATGTGTATATGCAGCAACTGTTCAGGAAGAATGAGCTGCTGCTCATTGAACGACGATTCTGCTTGTTGCCGCTCCAGTCTGCATCACAAAACACCTCCAACACAACTTCACCACGCACTCCACCAGGATCGGAAGGCTCGAGAATGCTAAGCCTGTCACCTCGGGCATGCACCTTGTTGGCGTAACCTGTGGCGCACGCCAAGTACGATGCCAACCTCTGACCCGAACTCCAAGTTTGCACTGTCGGTTCTCGGAGTTTCTGGGACAAGACCCTGAATGTGAAGGCGACGTCGGGTCGATCCTGTGACACATACATTGCAATCCCGATCGCGCTGCGGAAGCGCACAGCTTGCGAGCTATCCAGCAGTTTGCTGGTGTCGGGCAACAAGATGTCCTTTGTGCACGGCGTCGGCACCTTTCTGTGCAGTGGCACTTCAAGAAGATTGCACATGTTCACTGCATGATCAGACAACGGCTTGATCAAGATCCCATCTTCAAGAAGAATGTGTTCCCTTTTAAGAAACTTAAAGCAATCCCCGGGCTTGCATGCAACTTCATACGACAGCTCAAAAGTGCTTTCAAGACTGGGAACCAGTTGCTGCAAGATCCACTTCACATACCCAACAAGGCAGAGATCATCGACGTGGATCACACCCGGATTGGAGCGATCTTTCGCATCCTTCAGCTTGTATAAGGAAGGGCACTCGGCACACACAGACAGTTGATGTCTCGCACGAATGTAATCCATGATGAACGAATGCCACCTGGCCGTTCCGTCCCGCTGCCCTGGCAGCATCTTGAGGAACCGCATCCTTTTGGGAAAACCCGGAATCTTGGCCAGCATGGGACGCTCCTGTGGAACACAAAGAAAAGCATCTTTAATGTCCAAGGCTACGACGCCTATGGGATCATCGTCTGTGCACGCACCTTCCTGACGCCTGTTCATCTCGCAAAACAACCATGGGAGAAGCTTCGTGGTGAGCGACGATGTCGCCGGGGCATACAAACCCTCCCGGTCACGCTCCATCCACTTGTATTCTCTTGCCACCAAGCGAGATCTACGGAAGAACATCAAGCGCCCATGCCTCTTCTTCTGTCTCCACGTTCGCACGAATTTTGTGGAGAGTTCCTTGTAACCGCTGAGGTCAAAGCTGTCACCGACTTCCTCCAAGACTTGTTTTCCAAGGAGTCTTTTCACCTCGAAAGTGTCTGCCACGTAGTCCAAGGCTGACAACTCTTCGTCACTGAGGCTTGGAATCTCCTCGAACCATAGAAGATCTTCGTCTTCCAGAAGCTTTGCCTCTTCAGCGGTGAGGCTTGGATCAAGCTCTGCATCGGCATCTTCTCCAAGCTTGACATA